TGTGGATATAATGTTATATTTAGTATAGATGCCCAAGCTTCTATTTAAGATACTGTAACTAAAGATTACAAAATACTAATTCAACTAATTAACAGAGACAGTTACTGTAACACAGACCTATTTTCCAAAATTCATTGTTCATGAGATTTGAACTCTAGACCTGCCATTTGGAAGTTGACAACCTGATCACTTTACTAGATCACTACACCCCTTTGTCTAACATTACTAAAAACAAAAAAGCTTAATATAAATATGACAATTTATGAACAATGTTTGAATATAAAACCAAAATAAAAGAACTTATAAATATACAGTTACAGAAAAGAAGTAATATTAAAATAAACAAAGCAGACTTACTATATCTAAATTAGTTGCTAGATATAAAAGAAAAGAAGTTATTTACATGACAACAGCTAAAAAGTTACCAAGATCTATTGAGTAAAAGAAAAAAAGCAGAATAGTTCAAAGTGATAAAACTAGAAGTACTTAGTAGATCAGAAAATAAAGAAATTAAAAGTTAATTTAGAACAAATAGGCAAAATACTTAAGCAATACAAATAAGATTAGAGTATATTTTGAAAGATAAAAGAAGAAAAGAATAGGTAGCACATGGTGCACAGAATCATCAATAATTAGAAAAGATAGTTAAGAAAAAAAAGAAAAAAATATTAGTAGAACATTAGCAAATGCAAAGTAAAAAAAATAAATTAGCTATCAAAATTAACAGATATAAAGATTATATAAGAAAAGAAAAATATCAAGAAAATAGCTGTCAGCAGTAGATAAGAATAAACAACAGAATCAATGTAATTTCAGATGCATTGATAAAAAAAGGCAGTAACAAGATTAAGATAGTAATATATCAAATAACAGAAATGATAAAAACAAACAAACTAGTAATTAAAGAACAGAAACTTGAAAAACTAAGAATAATAGAAGAGCTAGAAGTAGAGATAATCAGACAACAGAAATTAAAAGTTAGCATTAGTCAAGAAATAATAGAAGTTTTAAGAAAAAATATAATAAAAAACAAGAATATATGTATAATATATAGATAGAGCAGCAAACTTGAAGACTAAAAAAAATACAAGAAATAGAAATAATATAGGTATAAGATGGGTGTAAACAGATGAAATACAAGAATAGTCAGAAGAAGAGATAGCATTAAGTCTAGAAGGATGGCAAACATCAACAATAGCTGAGTTAATAGCAATATAGATAGCAATTTTAATAATACTAATAAAAAGCAAATAGAAATATATATAAATAGCAATGCTGTAATAAGAAACATTAGTAAAGATTTAAAATAAGTAGATAAAAATAAGATTCTAAAAAAGAAGAATACAATATAGATAATGAAGATCAGAAAGCTTATTATAACAAAGAATATTCAGATAGATTTTGTTAAAGTTAAAAGTTATAATAAAAATAAATAGAATAATAAAACTGATAGTTTAGCAAAAAAAAGTACAATAAGTAAAGAGATAATACAGACTAAAGAAGTCAGTTGTAAAGAGATAAAGTATTGTTTAAAGTGAAAAAACAAATGTACTGATATACTAGCAAGACTACTTTATAAGTTAATAATATATGCAAAATTAGAAGCAGAATAAAAAAAAACAAAAGCAATTAAAGGATTAGAATTAAAAACAAAAGTTATAATTTATGATTAGACATATTTTTGAAAAAGACTAAAGATATCTAAAGGAATACACTGTATAACAAGAAGAAGTAATATCAGAAGAAGTATATTTATAAAGTATATAATAAACAAACTTTCAATCCTAGAAGAATTTAATAAAAAAAACCTAATGTATATATAATAATAAAATGTCAAATATGTCAAGATAAAATAAAAGAAACACAGGTATATTTGGCAATATATAAAGGACAAAAAAATCTTTGAAAAAGAATTCAAAAAATGACTATAGCAACAGTCTAGAAAGGACTAAAAAAAGAAGAAAAAGTTCAGATATCTCTATATATATTATATATAGTACTTTTTGAAAAAACAGAAACAGAGAAAATTAAAATAAGAGAGACACTAATTAAAGGTCTTATTTTAAAAGAAATACAAGACAGATTGAGACAGCTCCTAAGTACAAAATCAAGACAGTAATTTATAAATATAATAGTAAGAACAGCTTAGAACATATTTTATAAACAAGTATAAAGAATTTAATATAAGAAGATTAATGAATAAGAGAAAATAAAGGAATAATAGGTAGAATAAAAAGAAAAAAAAAAGATAAAAATACTATATAAGAAAAGGAAACTAAATCAGCAAGTAATAGAAAAAAGAAAAATAAAAGTGAAAGAAAAAAGAAAACAAATTAAAAAAGAAGCATAAAAAATAATTTTAGAGCTTGTTATGAAAGAAAAAAGACTCTTTCATTATAAACTTTAAGTAGTTAGATGAGTAACTTATTTTTGCTTGAAGTAATATAGCAGGTTGCATTTAAATACTATTAGAATGACTAGATAATGCTAAGCTTAGTAGTTAAGAATATTTATATAATTGCAAATATAATTTCAAAATCCTAATAAAGCACTAGCATGACTGTTTAAGAAAAAAAAATTTTGGTTTGTTTAGTTTGGAAATTATATTTATAAAATATTAAGTTTATAAAATTTTGTATAGTAAATAAACTATTAAGATGAATATGAATTAGATAGTTGATAAATAAGGTAAAAAACAATAGAATGAATACTATTAGTTTTGATTATATAGAGTTTGGTATATGAGTTATAAAGAGATTAAATTTAATCTATATATTATTTTTTAGGATTCAAATAATATTAATAGAGATCTTGTATATTTATAAATTAAATATAAAGATATCTGTATAAAAATATAAATTAGCTAGATTAATAGATAGTAATTTTTTATAAAGATTTATGAGTTGGTTTTGGTATATAGAATCAGATATTATATTTTATATTAACTGTATTTATAAAAAGGATAATAAAAGAGATAATAAAGATTTTAAAACAGGTTTATATAAATTTATATAAATATTTTATAAGTTTTGAATTTCTTAATTATTTATGTTGAGTTCAAAATATTGTTTTTTTTTTGTATTTTGTATTTTAGATTAATGGTTTGTTTATAATTTATTTAAAATATTATAAATATAAGAGAAATATGAGTTATATTAGTTATTGAATTGATAATTTAATATTTTTGAAAAAATATTTAAGAGTTAGATATATTAGTTATTTTACTAATATATTAATCTAAAAGTAAAATATAGAGTGATTATATGTTTGTTAAGACAATAGAATAGGGTATAATAAATTTAATATATTTAAAAATGAATTAATAAATTAAAGTTGAAGGTTGGACTATATGTGTAATATAAGGTAATGGAATATTTAGTTTGAGAGTATTTTAAACCATTTTAGAATAGAATCTTATAGAGATTTAAAGGTTCTAAAATATATATATATTTTATAGAAGTAAATTGCAGTTATTAGTTATAAATAATTATTTTAAAAAAAAATTTTATTATTTTTAAAACTTACAGTTGTTGAGTTATTAAAAAGTATAATAAAATTATAAATATTATTTATTTAGTTGATTTGATTGTAAGTTATTAATTGATTTAAATAAGTGTTATTTATAGAAATATTATTTTTGTATAGATGATAGAATAAGATATTATAATAAAATTAATAGATTTCATATGATTTATTAGAATTGTATTCTAAATTAATAAAGATTTCTATATTTTAAAAAATCAATTTTTGATTCAATGTATAGAGATTTGATTCAAAAATATATTAATATTAAAACATCTTTTTATATTATTATTGCTAACTTGTAGTATGAGTTTGTTGAGTGTTAAAATATTGAGTAATTGTAAGTTGGTAAATATATCATTGTTTGTATTGATAGATAAATGTAACATGTGTTTAGTGCATTTTGTTAGAAGGCTTGATAGTCATTAGAGTCTATTTTATAAAAGAGAACATATTTAAAGTAGATATTCTATTGATGATAATAGAATAATATTAAACAGTTAGAATATTTGTATAGAAAGAAATAACTGTTAATAAAATATATTATTAGTAAAATAAATTGTTTGTAAAATGTAATATCAAAAAAATAGATTATTTATTAGTTAAATAAACTATTATTAAAATAACTGTTAAAGAAATAAGTTAAAATTATTAGACTAATTTTACCAGTCTTACAACTATTAAATGTATCTTAATAAGTTTTACAACTTTATTTAACCATTTTACTTAGCAAAAAAAGTTTTAAATTAGAGTACGCCATATTTATTAATTAAAGGTTGAACTTGATGTGATAAACTCGAATTATTAAAATCGGTTCTAATTTCTAGATCAAATTTGCTCTAACAAAACAAATTTTATAATACGTATGTATTAATAGTTGTATAACCAATATCTTAGACTTGTGTTTCGTACCATTAATATTAAAAAAAAAAAAAAAAAGACTTGTGTTTCGCAGGTCCGATCCGAGGTCCGGAAGCTCGGATTACGCGAAACCTCCAAATTTTTTTGATCTACTAAATCCGGAAGCTCCAAAGTAATCAATTTTGCCCAATCAGTAACAAGGATATTATCGTCCAATTAGAAAATGTGAATAAAATTAGTAAATTTTAATTTGGGACGATCTTTCGTGTTAAAAAACCCGTAGTTCAAGCAAAGGGTTGTATACTGGTATAAAAAAAAACCATTGATTTTTTATTAATCACATTTCAGCCACGTATCTATTAGCCACGACATACGCATTCTATTCTTTCACTTTAGCATATTGATTTCGCCTATATCTAGCATTTAATTCTTATAATTTCGGGTTCTTTGTTGATGCTTTTTTCACCGGGGGGTTTTATCTTTCGCAGAGGTTTCGTCAGGGGTTTCTTCTTTCGTAGGGGGTTTCAGTTTTCAGGTTTGGATTCGTTTTTTCTACTCCATAAATAATTTTGTCTAACAATTATAATGCTAATATATTTCACTTTTAAAATTATTAGCACCTTTGAGACAAGAAAACAAGGATTATTACGATATTCTTGGTGTGTCAAAAAATGCATCCCAATCCGATATAAAAAAGGCATATTATTCTGTAAGTATGATATTGAAACATTAAATATTGTACATTTTTATCAAAATTAATATATTTTTTAATTTATATAGCTTGCTAAAAAATATCATCCCGATACAAGTAAAGATCCTACTGCGAAAGAAAAGTTTGTACAAATTCAGGAAGCATATAATGTATGATATTTTCATTAATAGGTACACACTTTGGTAAAGAATTTAAATTACAAAATTTGGACAACTATTATAGATACTGAGTGATGAGGAAAAGCGCGCAGAATATGACAGATGGGGTTCATTCAAAGGTTGGTTAGTACATTAAAATTGTATAAAATGTGTTGTAATTAAAATATCAAAATCCTATCACCAGGTGCGAATTTTAATGGATTCGCTGGAGATTTCAGGTTTGGGAACATTTTCGATCATGTTTTTGGAGGGGGGTCTGCATGGTCAGCTGGATTTGGAGAGCCATTTGCTCAAGGAACGGACATTGAGGTATGTATGGGTTACAAGTATTTACTCATGTTTCATAGCTTTGCTTATGTATACTTTTATTGTAAATAGATGGCTCTAAATATTTCTTTCATGGATGCTGCTAAAGGTGCTACAAAAAGTGTTTTTTATGAAGCTATTGCTACATGTAAAACTTGTCAAGGCCGTGGTACTAAAGCTGGAAAAAAGCGTGATGTGTGCACTTCATGTAAAGGATCGGGTGTACGGTCTTTATCTGTTGCATCAGGTTTTCGTATGCAAGTTACATGTGATGAATGTGGTGGCAAAGGAACCAGAATATTACCTGAAAACAGATGTCATACCTGCGGGGGTAAAGGCCAAGTCAAAGAACGGAAAGCAGAATCTGTTGATATTCCAGCTGGTATTTATGTGCCCAAGTTATTTATTTTAATTGTTGGAAAGACAATAAAATCTTATTTCAAATTATAGGTGCAGAAGATGGAATGAGGATACGGATCCCCAAAAAAGGGGACGTACCATTTGATAGTGAAGGTCTACCTGGTGACTTAATTGTTCGTATACGTGTGGCACCTCACAAGACATTTAAACGACAAGGTCCCAACGTTTTTGTTGAAGCTCAAGTTCCGTTTCACACGGCCATACTGGGTGGTTCTATTCGGGTTCCTACAATAGATGGAGATGTGGAATTAAATGTCCCAGCTGGATCGCAACCGGATCAGCAAATGGTTATGAAAAGACGAGGAATTCAAAACATTGGAACCAACTATCATGGTGATCAAATTGTGGTATTTAAAGTACCGCTACCAAAGTACGTTTTATCTTTTTGCATTAATTAGTATGTGTAAAGTAATTTCTCATTCATTTTATATTATAGGTCTTTGACACCTAAACAACGTGAATTGATTGAAGAATTTGCCCGAATTGGATCTGGTTCAAAATAGCGAGTTATAGTAAACCGGGTCGAAAATTTACAATTGGGTCAAAACGTTGAATATGTAACCTCTAAAAATCTGGTACTATTACACAAAAAACATAAAATTTAACACATTATCATTGGATTGTGAAAATAAACAACACCCTTTTTGTTTCTTACTAATTTATCTAAATTTAAAGAGTCACAAACTTTTGGAGGCTACCAACGACTATCTATTGCGAAAATATTGCTAAAAATGTTCATTTGTATAAGCCTTCGTTATTATTTTCTTTGCATTGCTAATATGTGATACACTGTGTGTGTTCGGCATGTTCGATAGTACCCCAGTAATTCGTAGCGCCGGGGTGCGAGTGATTGCGTTGCACGAATTGCGTGATCGTAGATCGTTCGTCTCTAAAACCCTCCCTCGTGATTTTTATCCAATCAGATCGAAATATTAGGTGTAATGGGTTAAGATTGATTTTTTTGTGGGAGATAATAGCATAAAAGTCTAATATCTACGTACTGCTACACCCGAAACTACCTCTTATAAGTTCTTTATAACTAGAATTTGGAACTAGATTCGACCGTCGGATTCGAATTACACTGTTTTCATTATTTTTTGGGACATCTAGTAAAAATTGTCCAAATAATTATTTGTCGATTCGCTAAGTTTGATTTCGACAGTGATAAAATTTTGATTTGAGTGTAATTAGTAATATAACAACAATTATATTTTCAATTGTATTTTGAACGATACTACTATGTCAACGCATCCAAAATTAAGTTTTACTTGAACGTATGTCCGTTATACTTGGTGTGTTGTTCTTGCCAACCAACCGATCTTGACAAAAAATATAATAAATATGCTGTACGTCGATTTATGACATGTCGATCTTAGATTGACATACAGTGGCGATCATAAGTAATGGAGCAAATTACATTATTTTGTGCAATTTTGGATGTAAATTTTTTTTTTAATTTACTAGTAGAGGCCTGCAAATTGCCTATTTTTGAGGCTCGGCCCGCATTTAGGGTTAAAATTTTCTTGCTGGCCCGGCCCGGCCCGGCCCGCATTTAGGGTTAAAATTTTTTTGCCAGTCCGACTCACATTTAGAGTTAAAATTTTTTGCTGACCTGGTCCAATCATCATATATCAAATTTTTTCTTAAGTCTGATCCAACCCAACTTGCAATTATAAAATTTTTTGGTCCAGCCTAGTTCATAATTATAAACTTTTGTTTTAGGTTCAGGTTGTAAAACTCAATGCAGTCTTTATTTACTAGAGTTCCAATTTATTATTCATTTATTCATTTATCTATTAGATATTCAAATCTGAATTTATTGATATTTAAATAATTATCCAAATATTTATTTATTTATTTATTTTGATATTAAAGTGATTTTTTTGGTCTTTTGACTTTTATTAATGATTTTTTTAATAATATAATTCTATAAATCATTATAAAAAGAGTATATAATTGATTATACATATAACTTTTTTATATTACTTATTTAAGGAATCCATCTAAAAGTTTTTTATCAATTGTTATATCTAATACTTCTACTTAGATGTTTCATTTTAAACTTTCTAAATTTGTACTTGTATTAATATTACTAGATTAAACTCAGTTTATTGTCTCAAGTTTAGAATTATTTTATTATTGAAATAAATTTTTTAAAGTTTTCTATATTTATTTTTATAATTGATCTAGATATCATTATGCAGAATTAACACTTGTAATCAAAGTTATATTATTTAACTGCTATGCTTTTGTAAAATTCATTCAAAATTTAATATTTACTTCATAATATAACTCTAATATTTTAATATAGTTTTGCCTTTTTATTAGACTTCTAATTTAAATAGTTTATATAGGATTATAATCAATCTATTAGTATATTAGATCAATCTAATATCTTTTTTCTTTGATTTATTCTAATGATCTAATTAGTAATATCTCTAAAACTTCTAATCTGAAGGTTTTTATTCATTTAGGTATTATGATCTTGATATCTGTTTTCTTGAGTTAGTCTTTATAATATTATTATTAAAGGTTTATATTACTTCTTTACTTAGATTTTTATAAATAAATTTTTTGTTTTCTAGTTTCAACAGATTTACATATTCACAAGAACTTATTTAAAGTTTGTATTACCTAATGTTAGTTGTATTTCTCTGTATAACTAGTTTTACAGATATCTTATAACTGCCAATTATGTTAATATAACTGTTTTTATAGGTATTCTAATTTAATTATTAGAAACAGTTGTCATAATATGAATATTACTGTATATAAATAATTATTCAAATTTTTATTATCAATAGGATTTGAATATCCAATTTACTACTTAGGAATTGACAACTTGTTCATTTTACTAAGTTATTATATCTTTATTTAAATATTTGTTAGATTATTCAAATATCAATAATAAATAAATATTTAAATAAATTTAAAGATAGATAAATAAATAACAGATTTATTTATATTAGAATTTTATAATTTATTTAGAATAAGTTTAAATTTTTATTGATTATTATTATTATTATTATTATAAAGATAATTACCTATATAAAAAACTTTTTAGAAACTTTTTTTACAAATCATTTTTACAAATTCTTGCTAAAAACATTTGATCTTTTTTCAATAATTTACTAAATAATTTATACTTATATTCTTAAGTAAAGTTGTTTAGCTCACTTTTCTCATTTTAGTTGGCTAAGTTTTAAGTTTAAATATTATCTGACTACTGAGAAAAGTTCCAAAAACCAAATTTTTAGTTTTTGCTTCTTTTCTAAAAATTTTACTAATTAAACATACTTTGTTACTTATTAGAAAAACATTTAGCTTCTCAAAACAATCATTTTAATATATATCTTATTATAAACAAACTGAAACTCATCAAAATATATGCAAAAAGACAAAAACTAAAATCTGTCTTTACAGATTTTTTTATTAACAATTTTAGGAAAATCTATTGGGTTGCTCTGTAATATTCACTTTTCTGATACTCATTAAAATTTCTTAAACATTCAGCTGATTTTTACATTTGTTTTACATTTTTCAAAATTTTCTTAAATATCTTAAAAGCTTTTATAATTAAAAAATTTTTTTAAAAACTAGTAATAATAAAACAGTTTGTACTACTTTAAACTTATAATTATAATCTAGCTACCTGAGTTTACTTGACATGCCTACTCTTAGTACTATAGTATCTAATACTTTAGATTTCGATTACTTCTTAAAAAATTATACTGGCTTCTATAGAATCACTATTTATAAAAAAAAACTAGAAAATATTAGAGCTATTCCTAATAAATACAAGCCAACTAAATGTATTACTATGAAATTAAGAACTCATCTAGCTACACACTTCTTTCTAGTTTTTCCTATAATTACAACTATTAAGTGTATATGTAGATTATTCTATACTCAATTTCTCTTAACAAATAACAAAACATATGAAATTATTAATACAATCAAATCAATAACAACCAACTTATAAGTCAAAAAACTTTGACAAACATTTCACAAATCTATATCAAATATTTTATTTTTTTCATTAACTACTCATACATATACTTGTCTCAAGTACCAAATTTCAATTAATTGCAAAGTTATTAATAATAATTATGAACTACAAAATAAAACTATATTTTACAAAAATGAAACATATTACAATAACTGTCTTACCAAAATTTATAAACAAACCAAATTAATCAACTAACCTAATTCTCAACCTATTATCAATTCTAAACAAGGCCCCTTTTCACAATATAAGCTTCCAGTTCAACAATCTCCTTAACCCTTAAACAATTATCATTTAAATAATCTTTTTATTTCTGAGTTTACATTTTTCTTAATAATTTCTATAGAAACAACTAATATTAATAATGATATAGACATTGACAACTTTAACTCACTTAACAACAGCAACCTCAGTATACCAATCAATAACTTATAACAACAACAACCCTTATATCAAGTTCTACTATTACAACAAAAACAACAAACTAACTAAAAACTATTTCAACAACCTTAACTATCTTAGTCTTATAGCCAAGTAACAAGACCTAAGTTCAACTCATTATATGACTTTGTAACAAACTTCCAGTTACAGATTAAATGTAGAATCTTACAAAACTACAAACAGAATTCTCTTACAAACTCTTCAACTTTCTTAAAAAATATCTTCATAACTTTTATTATGTTAAAATTATCAAAAAAGCATCTAGAAATCAATATGCACTTAAAGCAAGTTTCTATTTATTAGTTAGACAAATGGCTAGTACTAAACCATAATTTCTTATAGACCTAATTCAACAACATAATATAGATAATAACAAATCTGCTACAATTCTATTCAATATCCTCAAAAAAATACTTAAAAAACTTATTCTTATATTTACAACAGTCTTTTTTACTAAACTTAATTATTCAGAAATATTCATTTTACCAGATACTATCCTATCTATTCAAACTCACAATTATTTACAATTTTGCATTAATCTTGCTTGACTTCATCTATATATTTCTAACAATTAGCAAGCAATTAACTATACTAAATTTGTAGAAGATATTATACTAAGACCAAAAAAATTTAATATTATATCTGAAATTATTGAAGTTAATAAATAACATTAATTTTTCTTTATCCAAATAGACAACTGATTTAATATTAAACTTAATTTTAACCTTTTCAAAACTTTATTTCTTGAAAAATACAACATACTATCTTTATAAAATTTACTTAACCATTTTAATAAATAGTTCAAAAAAATCTTTTCAATATACAGTCACCAATTTTCTAACACTATTAACAAAACTAAAGTTTTAAATTATCTTAAATATGAATTCAGACAACACTTTATCTCTTATCTTAAAAAGCTCTTACCTACTACTATTGAGTTTAAAAAACTAACCAGTTTTTATGAAAGACATAATGAAGCTTTTAGATATGCTAATCATCATATACTTATTTGCATTGATTTCAAGTATCCATATCTTGGGCTAATTATAACTAAAAATAAAGAAAAAGAACTTGACAATAAAAAGAAATTTGACAATGTTTAAAAAATAAACTCTGAGTCATAATTTACATACAATTTATCAAAACTTATTAGGAATATATTTAATACATCATATAATACTTATTCAAAAAAAATTGAAACTTAGAATAAATTCTTTTTTGATTCTTTAATATTCTATATTAAAGGAAAACATGAAGTCATATTTACTAAACAAATCTCTACTACTGTTTTAGATAAGCTAGCAGCAAAAGCAAAAGAGTATACTTGTTTTGCAAATTCTGTTAGAACTAATCCAAAAGAATAAGTATTTTATTTTTATCAATATCTTACTATTTATTAAAACATAGTTGTATAGAATCATAATATTGACAAAATGAACAAACAATAGGCTATTAACTTTCTTATATCCAAACTTATTAATACTGACTTTTTTGCATGTATTATTATATACTTTGATTGCACTTATAATGAATCTCCTAACTATTTTACAATAACTAAATTTTATAAAGAAAAAGCTTTACCAGAAGCTGAAACAATTCTATATGAAAAATTCAATATTAAATTTGAAATACCAACTTTTATTGCTAAGTTACTCTTCTTAGAAAAAGAAGAACAGACTTTTTTTTAATAAATTTGTTTTTTACAAAACCCATAGATGCAGTTGCCATTCTATTAAATGATATATTTTTAGTAGTTAATAGGAAAAATGATATAAGTAGGCAGGCAGTAAAGCCTATTATATGAAAGGCCAGAATTATGATGGTTTGATCTAATATACAAGACAGACTATGGCACCTTACACAGTTATAAGAGCTGAGCATATAGTGATAGATTTTGTAAAAAACAAACTTAGAAGATTATTATCAATATCTTT